CCACAACGCCTGGCCATTTTTTGGTTGCAGCCATCATTGTTGTTTGGCGGGCCCGGGCTGGGGATTCGAACCCGCCACCTTAGGTATATGTTGCTGGCGCCTTAGCCAATTGAGCCACAGGCGCTGAGCCAAGTATATTTACTTTTAAGACCCAGTGTTAAGTCTTATCTCTTGCAGAAGCCTTTCTCTCTTCCAGCTATTGAGTGAGTTAAGTTAAGTCACATCTCTTCTCCTTACCCTGAGCGCAGAAGAGGATAATCATTCTTGCTCTGAGTGTTGCAAGGCGTAAGGGATGGGAAAGCACCCTGTAAAGCACTGTACACAAGCAATTTATCTTTTCAGACGGTATGTTCCCCTGGGTAGGCCCCCAGGGAAGGCAGACCCCTCCCCCCTCTCACAGAGGCCAACTCAGCCGCTCTGGGAGCCTTCCGCTCCGCTCCAATCCTAGAAGCGCCAACGCGAGCCAGAAAATCGCGGGCTCTTCCGCTGCCGGCCTCCGGCCCGCGGCCCCGCACGCGTCAGGCAGGTTAAGTTTCTGCTTCGGCCGGCCCCAGAGGAGGAGACTGTGCCAGCCTTGCTCGAATGTCGGGAGAGGCTAAACCAAGCGCTGGGCAAGGCGATACGTACCACGGGCGGTGGGGCCTCCGGCCTCCGCACCAAGACTCCCTGGGAGGTGCCCGAGGTTCCCAGCACAGGTAGCTGCCGCCAGCCTTCCGGAAGCGCAGAGCAGGTACCCCTTCCACGGGGGGCGGGGCCTGCCGGTGCTTCCGCGTGCGTCATCAGGAGGCACCCGTCAAGGAGCCCACAATTGGACAGCTGGGGGCCGAGGCATGCTGGGATACCGCGGGTCGGTCTCCATAGCAACAGGCCGACAGGCACCCAGGCCCTCTGTGCACCAGGAAGGTTGGCGTGCCTTTCTTAGCGCGGCAGCCCGCGCGGCTCGGTGCGCGGTCACCTCCCCCGGAGTGCAAAGGCAGAACGCGCCCCCCTACCCCGCTCAGGCAAGTAACGGAGCCAGCTGCGTGTGTGAACACTCGTTTATTTACACATAGTCATCCGTAGGCAGATACCAAGTCCCGCTTGCTTCAAGGTACAGTTCTCTGGCCCACAGAGCCTGCAGACCCCGCCTCCGCAGCCTCCGAGGACGGAGGCCTGAGAGAACCAGTTTAGGCTTCTGCCCGAGAGCTAGGAGCTAAAGTCTCTTGCCTTCATCGGATTTCTTTCCGAATAGCCCGTTTTATTACGTACTAAGACGTCTCAGCTCCATCCCATTCATACTTTTTTCTCTTACTGTCCCTACCCACCCACAAAAGATTGTTAATAATAACAATAACAATAATAATACTGTAATAATATTAATAATACTTCACATTTGTACGAAGCTTACAGATATGTTTTCACATACAGCATCTCATCTGAGCCTCCAAACGGTTCTGTGAGGTAGGTATTCTCACCTCCCTTTTTATAGACAGAGCAACCGAGGCTCAGAGAGGTAATGGGATTTGCTCAAGGCCACACAGCTAGTTAGTGGTAAAGCTAGGACTCGATCCCAGCACCCCATATTCAAGTCCAGTGTTTCAACACCACAGCTACCTCTGTAAAGTGGAGTGGCACTTCTTACTCCCCTCAGGCCTGAGGAGCAGCCTGAGGAGCCAGAAGGCTGAGACTTCTCAGACTAGGGGAAGGGGAGACTTCTCAGCAGCGTCGGGGAGAGTTGGGGTACTTGGCCTTCAACTCTTGTTTGAACTGGCGGTAAAGGATCTTATTGTGCTGATTTTCAGCCTCCTTTTGGGGATGGAATTTCAAGGCTTCTTTGAAGCCCTTATGAACCAGGAAACCTTCGTTCAGCACCTCAAAATCAAACCCCGCCACGTGCAGCTCACAGGCCTGTAAGAGGAAAGACAGGTCAACAAAGTTTGATGACATCCACAGGGCAGAGACTGACTTCCCTAAAGCCACACTCCAACTTCCTCCCCCCTCTGGAGGCATCTGGGTCTTCTACACTATCCAACCACCTCCTGAATTACGATCCCTCCTGCTTCACTGGCTCCTTTACATCCTGAGCTGCTCTTCATAGCTCTCTGTCCCCACCACACTTCCCTCCGCATTGTCCCTGCCCTGTCCCTTATAGGCACCTGGCTGATTCGATTGAAGCCATACTGCCGAAAGCGCTCGTCGAAGGTGGGCACCTTGCCTCCAGCCACATAGAATGGCTCCCAGGGGTCTTGCCAAGGCACGACGTAGGCAGGCCTCAGCAAGCTCTCTTCTGGCAGGTTGACCCAGCGGGAATAGTTGGTGGGCGCCTGGCAGGGCGTGCATAGCCCGTAATAGAAGGGCCGCACCTCGCCCACCTGGTATAGCTGCAGCAGCTCCGTCTTACTCATGGGCATGCGGCGGGCTCGTCGGATCTCAAAGGCAGGCACCACCAGTGCTGTGCCCCCCCACTGGTTGCTCTGATCCAGCATTTCCCGCAGGCCTCTCCACAGCCCCTCGCTAGGCACCATGTCCACGTCGATCACCAGCGCATAGTTGGCTCCCTCACGAGCCAAATTCCTCAGCAAGTTATTGGGGTAGGAGACGTTGGTACCCAGAGCATAATTGATCCCAGGCTGGGCCACCCTGGCTAGCTTGTCAAAAACCTCCTGGCAGGACCGCAGCAGGGCAAACTCCCCCGGCTCCCGGGGATCAGGCACGGCGGCCTCATAACGCGAGGGGCAAACGAGATGCATGGCGACCCTGGCGCGCATGTCGGGGCAGTGACTACTCAGCGCGTAGGCCAGCACCGTGGCCAGCTGCGCCTCCTCCTTGGTGGCTGCGAACACCGACACGGACAGAGGTCCCTCCCAGCGCTCTAGCAGGCCCGACAGATGCAGCAGGTTGTCCACGCTGGCGTGCGTGGCCAGGATCACATCGTTGGGGTCCATGGTAGTCTTCAGTAGGCCCCTGTAGACGCGGTAATCACCGCTGGCGTCCAGGACGCCTCCGGAGGCCAGCGCCGTGCGGAGCTGCGCTTTGACCTGGTCCACGGATCGCGGGGACGGGGGGAAGAATTCAAAATACTGATCTTGCTCCTCTTGCCCATGCAGTCCGGAAAGCAGCGACAGGTAGAGCAGCTGCAGCATCGCCACTAGCATGAGCGCGGCCAGCAGCAGCTGGTAGAAGGCGCACCGGATAGCATAGGACATCTGCATGGTTCTCGGGGCTCAGGGCGCGCAGCAGAGACCACCCGGCCACAGCCTCCGCCAGCCGCAGCAAGCCCGGATTTACCGCAGACTGCCGAGTGCAGCCGACGCGAGCCGAGGCCGGCCGAACCCACGCGCAGCCCCGCCTTCCCCGCCTCCGCCCTGCTCGCTCTAGCGAGAGGGGAGGAGCTTCGGTCGCGGCGGTTGCGAGCTCGGTAAACTCCGGCGGGTCAGCAGCTGGGGTCCTCTTCTGTTCTCTCCCAGTCGGCGCGCGACCCCTACACCAAGCGCGTCCCGAAGCTCCAGCGCGCATTACGTCTAGGGGGAGGGGAAACCTTTGCCCGGTTCGGCTGCAGCTTGTGCCTGATGGCGCGGCTTCCTGGCCTGAGCGGGAGGAAAGGAAATGGAAGCATTCCCCTCTCCGTGCCGTCTCTCTCCTGCCTGAATCTTTCGCCGTAGGTGTTGGGGGTGGAGGGTGAGCACCCGGAAGGTGTGAGGAGATGAGTGATAAGGGAATGTGGAGAGAAGCGTCGAACGTGGGACGAGGTGGCCGAGTGGTTAAGGCGATGGACTGCTAATCCATTGTGCTTTGCACGCGTGGGTTCGAATCCCATCCTCGTCGGGTGCTGTTTTATGGGTGTCTTAATTTTCCACATCCTGCCTGTCTGGAGCAGCACCCTGAAGAAAGCTGAATTGGGCGTGCGAGTGGAATTATGTCCAAGTAGGGGCTTTCTCTCCTGTTTGTCCACTCTCTGTGTCCCTCCTGCTCATACTCAGGTATCTGAACTTCTGGGCGGGGAGCAAAGGTCTGCTGTTCTTTCTCCCTGGGGCCCAGGGGAGATAGAGGGTTCAGGGGTCAGCCATACCTCAAAGACTGGAACTGGGAATCTGGCCAGTGCCAAGTTGGGGGCCAATATGTTTTCTGCAGGAATTAGAGAAACCCCACCAGAGCTGTCCTCCTCCCCATCTGAAGTAGTGGAACTTGGTGGGGGGAGTTGTGGTGGTGTTTGATTATTTAAATTATTATTCTACTCAGGCTACTGATACATCCCCACCTCTTCTCTCAGGGTGAAGATCTTGTGTCCACATGCCCCTTCCCCAACATACACAAATCCTCCTAAGCAGATAAGCCTCCAACAGTCCACCACCAGCCACTGTATACAGATGGTGCTTAATATTTGTTTACCCATGGACTCTTTAGAAGAGAGGCTGCTGGCTCGGCGCCTATAGCTCAACCGGCTAAGGCGCCAGCCACGTACACCTAAGGTGGCGGGTTCAAATCCCCAGCCCGGACCCGCCAAACAACAATGACGGCTGCAACCAAAAAATAGCCGGGCGTTGTGGCGGGCGCCTGTAGTCCCAGCTACTTGGGAGGCGGAGGCAGGAGACTCGCTTGAGCCCAGGAGTTGGAGGTTGCTGTGAGCTGTAATGCCACGGCACTCTGCCCAGGGGGACAGCTTGAGGCTCTGTCTCAAAAAAAAAAAAAAAAAAAAAAAAAAGAAGAGAGGCTGCTGATGGAGACTTTACCTCTTACATGTTTACATGGATGGAGCTGGAACATAGACTTCTTAGCAAAGTATCTCAAGAATGGAAGAAAAAGTATCCAATGTACTCTTACTATAAAACCAATTTATAGCTTTCTTATGAAAGCTATAACCCAATTATAGCCCAAGAAGGGGAGAGGGAGGAGAGGGGAGGGGGAAGGATGGGTGGAGGGAGAGTAATTGGTGGGACCACACCTACAGTGTGTCTTACAAGGGTACATGTGAAATTTACTAGGTGTAGAATATAAATGTCTTTTTATTTTATTTATTTATTTATCTTTGCAGCTTTTGGCCAGGGCTGGGTTTGAACTCTCCACTTCTGGTATATGGGGCCAGTGCCCTACTCCTTTGAGCCACAGGCACCACCTGAATATAAATGTCTTAACACAATAACTAAGGAAATACCGTGAAGGCTATGTGAACCAGTTTGATAAAAACATTTCAAATTGTATATAAAACCAGCACATTGTATCCCATGATTGCATTAATGTACACAGCTATGATTTAATAAAAAAATTAAAAAAAAGAAGAGAGGCTGCTGCTAAATCAGGTACTGGCCATGTAATCAACACTCAACCTTCCCAGTTCAGTCAGAGTGGCCCTTATAGGGCAGAGTGGTCGGAGTCTTGGGAAGGTACGTTGGGACCGACTGGGGAGGGCCTCAAATGCCAGGATATCTGCCCAGTTATCCCTCAGGCAGTAGGATGTCAGGATGGTTGAGTTGGAGAGTGACTAGAAAACATTTATTTTGCAGCCTAGGACAATAGCACCTGTTAAGGACCTGCCAGAGTCTGTGTTAGGCACCAGGGATAGGGCATTGAAGAATACACAGGTACTGTCCTTGAAGGTTTTCACTGGTGACCTTTGCTAGAGAGGGAAGAAAAGGCAAATGCAGATTCCCTAAGCACAGGCCTTCTGAACTGGAGCCTCAGAAGCCAAATTAACCACCATGATGAGTTTCCTTTTACTTGCTCAGTGTTTAAAAATAACGACTTAGGCTCGGCGCCTATAGCTCAACCGGCTAAGGCGCCAGCCACGTACACCTAAGGTGGCGGGTTCAGATCCCCAGCCCGGACCCGCCAAACAACAGTGATGGCTGCAACCAAAAAATAGCCGGGCGTTGTGGCGGGCGCCTGTAGTCCCAGCTACTTGGGAGGTGGAGGCAGGAGACTCGCTTGAGCCCAGGAGTTGGAGGTTGCTGTGAGCTGTAATGCCACGGCACTCTACCCAGGGGGACAGCTTGAGGCTCTGTCTCAAAAAAAAAAAAAAAAAAAAAAAAAAAAAACGACTTAAAAACATTAGTAATTAACTTTAGTAAATCCAGAGATTTCATATAAAATCCACATTTTCAGTTTCTGTTTTGAATTCTGGAAGGAATTGTGGCGGGCTCCTATAGTCCCAGCTACTTGGGAGGCTGAGGCAAGAGAATCGCTTAAGCCCAAGAGTTTGAGGTTGCTGTGAGCTGTGACACCACAGTACTCTACCAAGGGTGACATAGTGATACTCTGTCTCAAAATGAACAAATAAAACAATTCTGGAAGATCTGGCAATGCCAGGCCTGCGTTCCCACAAGGTGACAATGGCATCAGAATGGCTCTCCCTTTGCAAATAGTCTTCTCTCTGCCAGATTCCTAACCCTGCCCCCTCCTTAGCTACTCCCACCCTCTGAGCATTCTTGTTTCATCTATAGTGCTCACACAATTCCCATGTGCCACCTTCACTATTAAGATTCTCCTGATTATCTGCCCACAGGTCCCCAAACACACAAAATGTTCGGCACATAGCGGGCGTCAATACTTGTTGAGGTATCAAGATTGAGGGAAATCACATGGAGGCCCCAGAAGGTGGCCAAAGCCTGCTGCTGTGGGCAGAGATGCCTGGGACATGGGAGACTCAAAGGCCAGTGTTAGTAACCACTAGCAAGGGGTCTGCTGATGTCCTCAGTGCAAGCCAAATGCAGGTCACTGCCAGGTGTATTGAATGTGAGAGTAAGAAATCCGTTTTACTCAAAGTCTACTGATTTAAATGTCAATCTCATCTAAAAAATACCTTTGTTGACATCTAGAATGGTGTTTGATCAAATATCTAACTCCTGTGGCCTAGCCTAGTTGACATATAAAATTAACCATAAGACTCATACTGCTATTTTGTGCAGGCCCCTGGGCTCCTCTCTCTTCCCTTCCACTGTTTCAGCCAGACCCCAGACTCACTGGCCCTGCAGATCCCACTCCACCTCCCTTTCCAGTTGGTTTCTCTTTGTCTAGACCCACTACCACTTACCCTTTAGGAGTCTGAATTGGTGCCATGCCAGACTGGGCCACTCACAAGTGGGTATCTTCCAGCGGCCAGTCAATTTCAACCAGGTACTGTCTCAAGTCATTTAACGGCCTGATTGAGTCTAGAAGATGATATATTAACTCTTCACTTGTCCCAAGGTGAAGGCCAATGGCTACAGTTTCCTGAGGTCCTGTCATATGTCAGCCCAGACCAAAGACTTTTCCTACCCTGAATTCTCCCAACCACTGTTCAAAAGAGTTGTGTCCATTTCCCTCATGTCTTTCTCCCTCCCCCCAGAGTGCTGTCATCCTCGTCAGCCTCCCCACGCTTGTGGCTTACATGCTCTGACTTTGGTAGCTGCTCCCAAGGTTACCTTCATGTGCTGAAAGGACTAAAATATTTTCTGAATCAACAAGTTCATGCTTGGCTGTCCACCCACTGTCCCACATGGAACCCATGGGTCTCTTAGGTACTGTTCTTAGAAAACAGGGCAGAGTGTGAGCTCTGAACTTGGAATTCAGATGGTACTGTATGGTCTTGAGCAAGGCATTATTTTATTTTATTTTTTATTTTATAGTCTCACTTTGTCACCCTTGCTAGAGTGCCATGCTGTCACAGCTCTCAGCAACCTCAAACTCTTGGGCTCAAGCTATTCTCTTGCCTCAGCCTCCCGAGTAGGTGGGACTACAGGCACCCACCAGAACGCCTGGTTATTTATTTATTTATTTATTGCAGTTTTTTGGCCGGGGCTGGGTTTGAACCTGCCACTTCTAGCATATGGGGCTGGGGCCCTACTCCTTTGAGCCACAGGCACCACCTGGCTATTTATTTTTTATTTTATTTTATTTTTTGAGACGAGGTCTCGCTCTGGCTCAGTTTGGTCTCAAACCTATGAGCTCAGACAGTCCACCCGCCTTGGCCTCTTAAGTGCTAGGATTACAGGCCACTTTTTTATTTTAAATAACTTTTTTTTAAAAATTAAGGGGAAATACACATAACTTAAAATTAACCATTTTAAAGTGTACAATTCAGTGGCATTTAGTACATTCAGGATGTTATACAACTACTTTATCAAGTACCAAAACATTTCCATCACTCCAAAGAAAACTCCATACGCATTAAGCAGTTACTTTCCATACTCCCTGGCTTTCTGTCTCTGTGGCTTTGCCTGTTTGGGATATTCCAAATATGTGAAATCATACAACGTGTGGCCTTTGGTGTCTGGCTTCTTTCACTTAGCACAGGACTTGCTGGGTCACGTGGTAGCTCTATGCTGAGTTCTCTGATGAACTGCCAGATTGATTTCAGTGGTGGCTATACCATTTTATACCATTTT